GAGGGAGGGAGGGAGGGAGGGAGGGAGGGAGGGAGGGAAAGAAAAAAGAGGAAGGAAGGAATGAAAACTGAACAAAATAAAGAAGGAAAGAAAGGAAGGAAAGAAGGGAGAATGAAAGAGAAAGTGAAAGAAAAAAGGGGAAGAAGAAAGAAACAGAGAAAAGAAAAATGAGGAAGGAAGCAAGGAACGAATGAACAAAAGAAAGAAGGAAAGGAAGGAAGGAAGGGAAAAATAGAAAGGAAGGAAGGAAATCAGCAGCATAGTACACTTAAAAGTATTTCCTCCTAACAGTAGAAAGGTAGCTCACTCTGTTCTTGGATTGGGAGGGGCCCGGGTAGCACACATGTTCCCTGGTGGGATGCAGGGGTAGGGGTGGGGGGTTCCTGACTTACCACGCACATCTCATTTGACTTCCAGACTAGCCACTAGCTCCATGCATACAGCAGCTTGCTGGCCTTCTGCTCTGTATTCTTAACCAAATAAACAACTATCTGCAGGGGAACAAAAGGCAAAAACTCTAAAACCTTCCTAATAATTAAAAAATAAATAAACTCACCCTAAGTTAGCACAACAGACACCCAACAGACACCCAATTATGTGCACACAGATACACAATTTTCTTGAACCATAGTGCACAGGTTTTTAAAACATATATATATATATATATATATATATATATATATAATAGCCATTATGACATGCCATTTGTACATTTTCAAATTTTAAGACAATATGGTAGAATATTTATGAGGTATTTTTAAGTCAACATTAGGACTTCAGTACTCCCAAATGAGCTATATTTTTGTCAAGTAACTTCATTATAAAGCACTAAGAAATATTAATGAGTGAATGATTTTTGCTAGGCTCGAGAATCAATCTTTCTGGTCTTCCATTTTCCCCACTCCCCAGTCTCCAGGAAGAAGGGGAAAAGACCTGTCTGGTGTTTTGAAGTGTTTCAGCAAGGCTACAAGACTGACATCCAGTGGATTTGTTAGAAACGACAAGGAGAGCAAAAGCCTAATCAGATAAATCTTATCAGCCTGAAATATATTCATTGTTATAGACTTAAAGATTACAGCAGAAAGAAAGCATGCATGTGTTTAATCAGCTACTGGCCTATCTATATGAAATTCATTAGCCACTCTAGTTGACAATATCCCCTGTATTTTGTTTTTTAGGTATCATTTTGCCAGTGGTTATTACTTTGATTGTCATAACACTCTCAGTATTTGTTCTGGTGGGTTTGTATCGGATGTGCTGGAAGAAAGATCCAGGTAGGTAATGTGTTTTATCTTTGTTTAGTTTTCCTGAAAAGGAGAATAAATATTTTCTCAGTGGATAGAAAAGGTACACACAGAGAAAAGAAGTAGACATAAAGAAAATACCATATTGCATGGTCACAAAAACTGAAGGGGGAGAAATACAGGAACGTGTTGAATGCTAGTAACTATACAGAGTGACAGTTGACTACTATTGGAAAGTATTAAATATGGATAAATCCTCATTAATAAACTAGCCCCAACTTTGTGGGTGGCCAAGGGGTGATGTCAGAAAGAAAAACATGAAATGGCATGCTTGATCTACAGTCAAAATTTTCCCCTTTACACGTACAGAATAAAAATACTCCAGAATAAAATGATACAGTGATGTAACAGAATAAGAGGAAAAACGTTTTGCATGTATACTGGTACTACAGCTTTAAATCAAAGCCTCTCATTCTTGCTTAGCTTTTTTATTCTCATGGCTTGTGCTATCCCATTTGAGCCAAGCCATCACTTTTAGCTTTTTTTTTTCCTGATTAGTTGGAGATAAGAATTTCTTGGATGTATCTGCCTGGACTGGCTCTGAACTAGGATCCTCAAATGTTGACCTCCTGGAGTAGCTAGGATTACAGGTGTGAGCCACCAGTGCCCGGCTAGAAGTCTATAATATTGAGAGCAGTGTTTCTTCCTTTCCAGTGAAGGTTTCTTCCATGACTGTTACATTGTCTGTTGTTAGTTTCAATAAAGTTTGTCTCTTAGAATCCATTCAATGCACAGATAATTTATCAAAATAAACATTAGCATATATCTACATCTGGTTTTCCTTTTTAATAAATGTTATGTTAGTATAGTATATGTGCCACAATTGCTGCACCAATCTTGAAAATGATTATTAAACTCTCTATTGTATGGATACTTCCATTGTTTTTATTCCATTTTTCTGCTCTACGGCTGAGCTCTCTTCACCTCCATGACTAAGCTCTCTTCCGTGCTACTGTAACTCTAATCTATCGTCTGTTCCAGATCTTGGTTGTATTCTGTAGCATCACATACCTGTGCTTGTGTCCCAAATATACAATAGACCCTTACTCCCTGAATGTAGAGTTTCATTTTTAATATCCAGTTAAAATAGAATCCTTTCTTTCCCCATTTTGATTTTAAATATTTCACTAACAAAATCCTACCAAAGTCTTATAAACCGTAGAAAGGTAAAGGCACTTATTTTTCTGGGGTGTATAAGCTTCCCTATTCCTTGCTTGCTTCATGGACACTGTGTGTCCCCAGGACACTAGTGAATGTTGTTCAGTTCAATGACTGACCAGGCATCTCACAAACAGTGGGGGTGTGATCTGGAGAGTGTAAGGAAAAGTTAGGAGACCCAGGCAGCAGAATTCATTTTATCTCTGAGTGGGAAAGAGCAAAACAAATCAAATGTCTTTTCCTTCAGGAGCAAAGTGGATGAACTTTCTAATCACATCTGAAGCATTGTCCTATGTCATTTTTAGAACCAAAGCAGTATTTTTATAAATCAGTTTTATTTTCTGTGAGTTTTTATGCCACCCACATTGTTTGGTAGGAAGTCAGCCATCCGGGTATACAGTATAAAGGAGAGGTAAAACTTAGTATGCTATATCTATTTGTGAAAAAAGACTGTGGTGAACAACTGCTTACATAGGAAGATCTGACAATATGTTTTTGAAAAGATGGCATTTTTCTATTCTTATGGGTGTACACAATTCCTACCACAATGGAGAGTTTCTCTGACGACACATAAGACTGTCTGAAACTGTATTTGGCAATTATGGAATTAGTCCATCTGTTTGGTTATAGTTTAACTTTGTTTTCCAAACAGAATTTAGAGCATTGTGTTATCACTAAATTAGCACCATTAGACACCACAGTTAATCCCTCTTCAAGTATGTGGGTGGGATTTCATTAAGTTCAGAAAATTAGGAAACCCACTGTGTTCTCTGGAAGATCTGTGAGTCAGAGATTTGACATGAGGCTTCTCCGGCTAATATTATTGACAAGTAGGCTGAGCTTTAACTCATGTAAGAAGGTGTATACTCAAGTTATCTCTTGACAGGTGTGTGTCGGCCCACTAACCTCTATCAAAAGTATTCTGACCATCATACAAAAATTGTTGATTCATTTTAATTAGCACTGTGTGCATTGTGAACAATACTCTATATGACACAGGATTTTTTTTGATGCCATTAAAACCCTACTTAAGAGGAAAGAGGAAATCAGACCTCATGAATAATCAGCACAAGATGTTATGGATCAAACCCCAGGGATTAAGAATTGTGATTAAATGCCAGGTCTAGTGACTCAGCTGTGAACCCAGCTACTTTAAGAGGCAGAGAGTAAGTGGATCACAGTTCAAGGTCAGCCTGGGAAAAAAGTCAGCAAGATTCCTTCTCAACTAATAAGCCAAGTATTCTAGAGTGCTCCTTTGAGCCCATGATAGAAGAAGCCATAAGTAAGAAGATCACAATTGGAGGCTGGCCCAGTTCCTACCTGAAAAATAACTGGATCAAAAATATGACAGAAAGTATGGCTCAAGTAATAGAATGCCTTCCTAGAAACTTCAAGGCCCTGAGTTCAAACCCACAAACAACAAAATTTTAAAAAAGTAAACAGAAGCAGCTAGGCAGAGTATTAATTTCAATTAGCGCCCTCAGTGAGAACTTACAGGGCACTTTTAAGAGGCTAAATAAGTAGATTTAAGATGCAATTAGAAACTATCTACACTGTAGCTCACCACAAAATATAGGAATTTCTGTCCCCCAAAAAGAGCAATGTAGAAAGGAAATTAGAAAATTCAATTTTCTGGGATGAAAAGGTAATTACTTTGAGGAGAAGTTTCTTTGAGATATTATTAAATAAACGGAGATTTTCTAGTGTATCTGGGATGTGATAGAGTACAGGACTTTCTCAAAGTCATATAAGTTATAAGATCAAAACTAACCCAGAACCAGACATTGATGGCTTATGCCTCTAATCCTAACTACTCAGAAAGCTGAGATATAAAGATCGATGATCAAAGCCAGCCGGAACAGAGAAGTCCATGAGAATCTTATCTCCAATTAAACATCTAAAAGATAAAAGTGGAACTGTGGCTCAGGTAGTAGAATGCTAACCTTGAGCATAAAATCTTAGAGACAGTGCCTATGCCCTGAGTTCAAGCCCTAGAACCAGCACACACAAACAAAATTTAACCCAGGCCTACATTCAATAAAGCTGATCTAATTGGGACTATCTTATAAACATCAAGATGAGTGCTAACCATACTTTAGCAAATACTTCTGGAGGGATAAAATTTTCTTTAGAAAAAAGTTTTAGAAGAGCAGCAAAGGGTCTCAAATTTAATAACAACTGTCTCCTCTCCTAGGTACACCAGAAAATGGAAATGATCAGTAAGTAAGACCATGCCACAATTTTGCCTTAGAACTTATCACCATATCATTTATAGGGGTGAACAAGTCTATATTACACTTTCTTGGGTTGTTTTCATTAGAAGAAAACAATGTAGAAAATACCACATATGGGATTTTTTGGAAATAGCCAGAGTTATTTCCCAACTTTCTATCTTCAACACAGATAAAATGATAAAGTAGAAAATGGCTAAGTAGAAGATCAAGAAGAAATACCCCAAGAATTACAGCTACAGTTTTAACATCATTTTGCCAGTACATTTTTCAGTGTATTTATCAGCTATGGAGAATTATACCTCTGATCTGAGCAGTGTCTGATGGGCTTTTCTTTAACAGCAGATGCTCATCTACTTTGACTTCATCCAGACAAAGCAGCTGTTGGCAGTTCAATCAATTGTTGTCACCAAGGTGCTGCAAGTAGACATGACAAATTGTTTTCTGATCAAGAAATAATTCGGTTGCCTTTGTTGGCCTGAATTTGTAGCCTGCATTTCATTTTGTATTTCATTAAGTTATAGACATTGGAAATAATGTCTCTAGGTCACATACCTGTCTGGATTAAAAATAGAAGGATGAGGGTTTGAACCTATTTGAGATCGGGAAAGGAATGAGTGAGAATGTTTGATGGAAGTGGACAGTTCCATATGGGTACTATAATGTCTCAGGTCCCCATGAGAAAGGGTATCTCAGAGTCCAGCAGCTGCTCATAAGTTTGGAAACACTTCTGGTTGGTCTGTCCTGTAGTCCAGAAACATATTGTAGACCTTGTGAGATGTCCCCAAACATCCAATGGACAGGTACTTCAGCTGGTGATCTTGACTATAACATAGTAATGAGGATTTGCTGGCTTGATTCCAGGAGAACTAGGAAGTGATAGATAGAAAGACACCAAGTCTTTGTGAAAACACACAAGTATAGCCCTAGAAGTACATAAAACACATCTGTGCACGTGTCTCTTCATTCTGTGTGCGTGGCATATGCATCCTTTCATAGTCACTTTGTGATCGTTGAGGTGCTGACAGTCTTCTCTGTTTCCAATAGACCTCAGTCTGATAAAGAAAGTGTGAAGCTGCTCACGGTTAAGACAATTTCTCACGAGTCTGGTAAGTTCCCAATTGGCAGATGAAAACGGGCAAGGTTGAAATCTAACTATATCCTTGGATGTGGTTCATCTGGGACATAACCAAACAAGCAACAACAACAACAAAACAGATTTTCTAGATGTCACCAAGTAGTAACTCTCAATAAATCTGACTTTCCTAGAAACTTTATTTTTATAAGATTATTGGACTTTGAGACTTTAAGGTTTGTTTTCTACGTGTGCTCTAATGGCCATGTGATGAAGGCTAGCCACACTGCTTACTCTACAAGGGTGCCAGAGATGACATTAACTTTGTTGACAGGGCTTTTAAATAATTATTGCTGTTGTTTTGTGTCACTTTTGGCAATGACTATATGTAGTCATTGGAACCAATTAAAATGACATTAATGTTCCATATCATGTTAAATGATTTTAATTGAATTTCTCAATAAAGATAAATTTCTGGTTAGTAAAATCTATTTTATTTCTAATTTCTTAGTTATGCTTATTTAATTTGGGATGTAAGTCTTTCAGAATACCATGTGACTGGTACAAGTGACATTTGTATCAAGAACAATAGAAAATGAGATGCTAGATAGCTTTTAAAAACAAAAGGCACAGGCATTTTTTTCTTGTTTTGAGTAGACCAGACATTTAAAACAGCTATCACAAAACAGATAAGTTAAAAACCAATTATAAGTTTCTCAGAACGATTCTTGTAACTTTAATGTAAATATACATTAAGATGTTTGCAATAGACAGTCCCCCAAATTTTACTTTGACAGCATGGTCCGGAAATATGTGGATTATTATACCATGAAAGCTTAAGAATGATAAACTATATTATAAATATAGAAAGTATTCAACAACAGTTTTGTAATACGAGATGCTATAAATATGGTCTCAAATCAAGAACAAGCTATCCTAAACTGAACGTGAATCCAAATTCATGCTGGCCATTACAACTAGAAGAGAGGCTAGCAGAGAGAATAAAAGTTCCCAACACTGGTATAAATAGGTTCCGCCCCTTGTGTGACCCATTTTCTCCTGAGAAAGATCCCTTGAGCTGTTGTGTCTTACATTCTTTGAGGCAAACATTTCTTTCACACCCACCCTATTTGTTACATTAGGAATAGTGCGCGCGCGCGTGCACACACACACACACACACACACACACGGCAAAGGAGCAAAATCATTCAGAGAATAGTTAGAATCCACTCCTATATATTCTCTGGCTATTCACCAGACTTGACTTAAGCACCAGCCACTAGTTGAGAGAGAAAGGAAGGGAATTAGTGAAATTGTTTAGATGTGATGACTCTTGAGCCAGCTTGAGCATGACGTCATTGATCAGGAAAGGTTACCACACCCAGTGTGTGGTTTATAAGTGAGCATCACAAGATTTCCATTTGCTATGTCATTCTCTTAGGAATTCAACCAAATGCTCTGCCATCTCCTGAGCTCTTAGAGCTGTGAACTGGCACTCTCTCTGTCTCTTTTGTCTGTGTGTGTGTGTGTGTGTGTGTGTGTGTGTGTAGGAGTCAGGATCAGGATAACATATAGCTTTCAACCACCCATTCTAGAGAAATGGTACCTAACAGCAAAATCATGGTTTTCTGGTAGGAAAATCCGAAGAACATTTCCTGTTTTATAATGCACACAGACAGCAGGCTCTTCTTTAACACCCAGAGAAAAGTCCACCTCTGCTCACTCCCACAGTGGCAGTGTCGCAGTGAGTGGAACAGACCTTGCAGATAATCAAGAAGACCTTTCACTCCACACGCTTCCTGTGTTTCCTAAAGGACTTGCATTGTCACAGCTCTTATGTAATAAGGTAGTATCTGGTTGGGTTTTTGGTTTTTTTGTTGTTATTTTTAGTTGTCAGTCATGGGGCTTGAACTCAGGACCTGGGCATTGTCCCAGGTTTGCTCTAGGTTAGCACTCTATCACTTTCAACCACAGCTACACTTCTGGTTTACTGGTGGTTGATTGGAGATAAGAGTCTTTTCTGCCCTGGGTTGGTTTCAAACCATGATCTTCAGATCTCAGGACCCTGAGCACCTAGGATTGCAGGCATGAGCCATTGGCACCCAGCTATCTGGCACTTTTAATTCTGTCTAGTTCTATTTATGAATTAACAAAATAATTTCCTAAAGGTCAACCCAGCTTATTGCCATGCAAAATAGATAGTGGTAGGGCAAGACATCTTCAAGATTTTAAATACAAAAACTAATTGGACAGGATAGTCATCTGACCACTCACCAATCAGAACTGATGACTATTACAATGTCTCCTATTTGGTTCAAGGTCTAAGAAATCTTAGTATCAATGGATGTTATAAGTGGGTTTTGCAATAAAATCTGTGCCTCAATGCCCTTTGGACTTTTATCTCAAAATGAATATGTCATTTTAGAGGCCAGTAAGCAATGTTTCCAAGGAAACAGACCTTTGCCGCAGTTTGTCTGCCAGTAGATGCTAAATACTCCAGGTTTCTATAATCTTTGATGAGCCATGGTTAGACTTCTAACCCTTTCTCTGAGGAAGAAATTTCCTTACCTCAAATCCTCCTCCTCACATTAAGTGCTAGTGTTCATCCATCTGTACTTCCTGATTCCACTAAATAGGTCCTCTCCCAAGCAAGGTCTTCTGCTGGAAGAGTTTAAATGTGGAGCATCCTTTCATATAAAGGAGATAGTCTACTTTGAAGCAACTTAGGTTGACTTCAGAAATACACACACGACACTACACATTTTAAACGTGATTCTCACAATTGGTCTCAGTTAAACTAACACTGCTCCACTTTGGTATGTGTAACTGTAAGAACTGTAACGAAAACTGCCTTAACTAGTTAAACAATACCTAGCTACACAAAAGAAAAGAAAACGTTATATCATTGAACCTAGTTTCAGATCATTGGTTTTGAACCACTAGAAGTGATGCAACAGCAATCTGAATTCACATAATATTCCTCTGCTTAGAGAATGCTAATCAATTCTCACTAAGATTACACTTAAAGCCCTTAACACATCAACAAGGCCTTCTATAACGTGTCAGCCTCTTTCACTTAATTAAAACCAGTTTTCCGCCTCCTTCTTTCTAGACCTAGACCTCTCTGTCTTGGAAAGAAGGAAAAGTATAATCTTTCACTCTCCTTTCTTCCTCTCATTTCTCCTCCTGAATATTGTGGTAATTACTCAGTATTAATGCATCAGTAATATACTGGTACTGATTAGCATACCATGAAAATTGCTCATTTCTATGCATAGTCACATTTTTCCATTTTCACATATTGTCACTAGTTGAAGAAATAAACAATAGTGAACCAAAGATTAAGGGAGATAAAGGCTGGAAGGGCACATGAAGAGAGGTTCCCCACTCTACTCTCCCCCGCCCCAGGCCTCTGGCACTGTTTATTATAGCCAGGATCACACAAGTAACTAAAACCATCTACAGAGAACCCTGAAGGCAGCTTGGCTGTTCTAACCATAGCAGAGAAAAGCTGGAGCAAAACCATGACATTTACTCTAAAAGCTGGAGAGTCTCCTATGTCATTCCTATACAGTTTGACTGATGATATTTTATTCTACCTGAAGGATGCGGGTAATGTGAAATAGATTGGCCAAGAATTCAGTTTCATGTAAAAAGTGCTTAGGATCTCTCAGCTTCCCATCATCCTAGGCTAATACATTTGTCTTTATATTGGATGGTGGAGAGTCCCTGGGATTTTTGATGAATGTCATCTGTACTGTCCTGAATGTCAACAATGTATTCGTGTTGGCTGATAAATTCAGATCCCCAAAACTCTCACTGAATTATTTAAACAGAAGGACTAAAGTACACCTGCCTTATAAAATGGCACTTGAAACATATGATATGGGTTTGCGGAGGCAGACCTAGCTCATGAAGCAAGCAGGAATCAATAATTCAGTCCCCGGGGTGTCTCTGTTGTTATGGCTCAGCTTCCTCCCTCCCTTTCAGCCCCATCTCCAGCAAGTTAACTCCTTTAGGGTGACATGGAGGATGGCTGAAGAAAGCTCATAAATCTTAATGCATAATTTCCAGGCAATACCAAGAGGCAAATATGACTTTAATGACAAATTTTGCAGGAAAATTGAGCTTCCCTTGGAGAAAAAAATAAAAGGTCAATACAAGAAACTTTATTTTCATCCTTAGTCGCTCTCTGAGCTTGTAGATCAAAACCTATCTTCTGTTCTCAGGTGAGCACTCTGCACAAGGTAAAACCAAGAACTGACAGCTTGATGAATTCTCCCTACACCTGGGCAATGACTGTGTAAGTTTCCTAATTCCATTCACTGAGATACTCATTAATATCTGGTTTCCATCACCTGCTGCCTCTTAGATGATTTTAAATCCTGAAAAGTTAATGACCGGTGTCCATGAAACCATGATTGTTGGTTTGTCTAAAAACAACCTGTAAGAAAAGCTGCCAGAGAAATGAATGTGGTTGATGGATACAGAAGATTTCTTCCCAGATTGCCCTGCCTATCTAAGGAATGGCACAATTCACTCTTCCTGCCTTATCAATGCACTCTGTCTTTTCCTGGGTCAGTAAACACCCACTAGCAGTGACAATTAGACAAGACTTGGCAATCTTGATGGCAGAGTCTTGGCTCTCAAGACCCACGTGACAACGCTGGCAAATCTGCAGCTTATTGTTCTCAGCCTCCCAAACAGCTATGTAGCTACCATTCCGGGCGTGAACTTGATGTTAATTGAATTGTTATGAGAAGCACCAATCAAGTGCTCTTACAATAGATGGGATGTTTTATAGAACCTACAGGATAATCTGTCCCCTTTAGATCAAACAATAAAAAGCAAAAGAACCAATAAATATTACCTGTGCAAAACTGGTGTGACCACAATGTTCCTCACTCTGGGTAGTGTCTCCAGTAAGGAATATCATTATTCTGTTCACTGTCTTTGTCTACTGCCCTGCTACTAATCCAGTGCTGCCATAGACATTCAGAATGTGCTTATTGACTATTTATCATCATGTTTATCCGGTAATTCGCAGAAGGTAGAGGTAGAGACACAGAGAGAGACATCCAGCAATGTGTGTCAGTATCAGAATTTCATCTCTCTCTAGCCAACAATTCAGGGGCAATTACAACAGAAAGCAGCTGAGTATTTGTTCTTCCCCTCTTAATGGACATTTTCAAGTGTTGAATTTGAGAAGCTGGGTGAGGAGATATGTGGACCAGCCTTAGCTAATAGATGCAGAATTTCTTTACCAAACTGGCTATGGTTTCTTCACAACTCAGCTGTAGAAGAAGAGTGCTTTCTACAGGACCAAAATGCTCCAAGGGAGGACCCACTAAGCCAATGAAAGCACTTTCATCTGTTCATTTGGGAAAAAAAGAAATGGTAGGGAACGCTGTGCTGGAAGGAAACAGCAATTCTTTTTCATTCCTGTATACTGTAAAAAATATATATATATTTCTAGCCTCTGGTTTGTGCACTGCAGAGGTACCATTCTTTTGGTGTTTTTCTGTGTAATTTTTGAGATCCATACTATGTTCTAAAAGGAAAAGATCAGAAAGTAATAGAAAGATACAAGCTTGACATTTGTTAATTCTATAGTCAATCTTCCTAGCTTTTTACTCTTTTCACTTAACATATTTCTGTCATTGTCCTGGGAATTACTCACTATACCAGTGAGTAATTGCTTTCTTGGTTGCCAAATAAATTCAGGTATCAATTCAGACACTCTAGCCCAATAACAATATTTTTGTCAGATCTAGAAGATTTAAGGAGAGAAGTTAAGACATTTTTGAATCTCTGTGCAACAGCAAGCTATAACATAGAAATAATCACTTGCATTTAGAATCTCCAGGCTGAGGTTGTAGCTGGGTGGTAGAGCACCTGCCTAATATCCAGGTTTTATCTCCAACACTGAAATAAATAAATAGATAGATAGATAAATCCTACCTCAAAATTCGATCCTAGATGTATTAATGTTTTTTGTTTAACACATTGACCTTCTATTTTGAGCAGATAATTATATTTAATGTGATTTGACAGAGCAGATAGGAATTCCAAAATGCTTATGCGCTATGATTCTTGTCTTCTGCCAAGTTGTCTACTGAGAGCATAACATTATGCACAAAATAATAAAACAATGTAAGAGAAAAAACAAACAGCTAAGAAAGCATGATTGATGCAAACTCATCAATTCAAATGCATCCTAAACATCTCTGCAGTTTTTAGATCAACAATAGGAAAGCTGAGGGAGGTTTCAAAAAACATTACCCTGACACTGAACGTTTATTGCTGCATTTAGGTACCATAATATTTTTAGAATAAGAAAAGGATTGTTTTAGCTTAAATTTTCTCTGTGCAATTTTCTTTGATACCAGCTATACAAACAAAACTGCTTCATCCCTCAAAATATCTGCTACTACCTTGAGTTATACTATACGTGCAGCATACAAAACGATTTTCTTTGTCAGTATAACTTTTGAAAAAAATAAAAGAAAATCTCAACTAAGTGAATAGGTTATATTTATTTTGGAGAGTCTTAATTCACAACTTTTTATCATCAGTAGTGAGGAAATTCTAGAGTTTTATGTTACCTTTCCTGTTTCTTTATCTCCAAATTCCTATTCACAGCCTTGCTCATTTACTGCTATCTCCCTCTTTGTATAAACTTCTTTGTATATTGAAGACCTTAATGTGATCTTATGTTTACATGTGCATCTTCTCACAAACTTACTTGAGAAGTAGCACGGGGCACTAGACTTACATCCCAGCGTAAGCCATAATGATTTGATAGGCTAGAATGAAGTGCTAACTTTCCTTCTTTGTTAATATCACTAACGAGTCATTTAGTCACTTTGAAGGCTGGCCCTTACAATCTAGCATACAAAACATACCCAGAATTTCCACCTACTATTTGAGCAACCTGGTCTGAAACCGTCCCTGTAATCACAGTTCTCCTTGCACCACACTGTGCTCATATACGCTGGACCATCTTCCAGCCACACTTGCTGTGGGAGGATGCCAAAGTTATCCTGCCCTTGCACTGTGGTCCCCCCGCCCAGCTATGACTGCCTCACTCAGGCCATGGAAGTCAGTACCCAGCATTCCCTCAGCACCTAGGCAACAGTGTAACCACCCCGATCGAAGGACCTGCCAACCAAGCCATGGAAAAGCAGGATACAGGTCTCCACCACTGGTGCCACTGCATCTCAAATGCACAGCATAAGCTACAGCTCTGTCTCTTCACAGACTCCAACAAACCATTAACAACTCCCAGCTCAGACTCCTGTTCCTTTCTCACTTGGGATAGAGAAGTCTCCAGACATTTCTTTTGGGTTTTTTTGTGATTTTTTTTGTTACCAACACAAATGTTTCTTTACTGAAAACTCTGAAGAACACGCTCAAATACTAAACTTTCTTCGGAAGTGCCGAGTTGCCTGCTAATTCATCTCCCTGATGACTGTGCACCCCAAAGCATGCATTTCCTAGTGAGTCACAGTGTTTCTTTAAGCACCAGTCTTGAACCATGCCCTCTTAATGATAGGGTACCGAAAGGGACAGAAGGGTGATCAAGTACAGAAAGGGACTTTGGTTAGAAGAGGGATATATGAGCCCTGTGCTTGATCAACACCACTGTAAGATGTGGAAGAGGACCAAAGGTAGAAACAGCGAAATTGGAAGCTATTACAATATCCCATTGGAAAATGATAAGGACCTAAATTCCCTAGTTGAAACTTCTTCAGCTACAAGAGGGATGTAGAAGAAGAAGGAAAACAGAGAACTGGGTAGAAGATAAAAAGATTGAAACACAATGACTGATTGGACATGGGCAGTAGGAAATGAGGAAGAATGTGACTACACATGATACCCACACTTTCAACCTGAGTGCCAAGTTGAATCATGGAGGTAGGAACAAAGATTGGGATTGTAGGTTGGAAAGAGATAGATCTGAGGCAATACATTTGGCTCACAGAATGCTCAGTTCGGAATGTATGAGACATACAAGGGACTGCTGTGTGTGGAAAAATGCAGCTAAGTCACTGAATTTTTGCTTTTTGTTTTTGTTTTTAACCAAGAGCTGGTCTGCTTCCACTTTCTCTGTGTCTTCTTCGCCTTCTTGGAACCTGACCTTTTCTTGTTCTTATTGTTCACAGGTTTAAACTTCAGCAACTGCATTCCAGGAATGGAAATGGAGGAAGTATGGCCGAACCAGTCCTGAATCTCAACCTTGAGCACCAGTCTGCATGAATTACCTTTCTGACTCAAGTGGCGATCTCCACACCACAAGGCATATAATTCGAAGCCCCAAAAAGAATTCTTGGCTTCCCCTTGTCCTTTGAGATACAGAAAGAAAAGCATATTACCACAGTTTGTAGAGACGTTTCTAAGACAGCACAATTTAGGAAGGGATGTTTTGAACAATGAACCTGATAACCCAAGTAGGTGGGCTGAGGATAGAATCGATCCATAGATTTACAGTTAACATGGCTGACAGTTTTGATCCATGGAAACTTTCCTACTTTCTTGTTGTTATTACTGGGGTTGTATTTATTGTTTTCCACTATGTTAATGTAGAGAAAGTTTGCAAGTACGTTTTTAAATATTAAGTACAAATCATACCGTGCTACTTTGTACATAGATGTATTTTGTTCATGTTTGCATATGTTTAGTTTTAATAAATAATTGTGTTCCATGCACTAAATCTTTTTTTTTTTTTTGGTCAGTCGTGGGGCCTGATCTCTGGGCCTGGGCGCTGTCGCTCAGCTCTTCAGCTCAAGGCTACCACTTTGAGCCACAGTGCCACTTGCGGCTTTTTCTGTTTATGTGGTGCTGAGGAATTGAACCCAGGGCCTCATGCATGCGAGGCAAGCACAATACCACTGAATCACCTTCCCAAACCCATACGCTAAATCTTAAAACTTGGCTTAAAACTTGTTTTTCCATAGTTATGGGCATGTTTGAATGGAGTTTTAGAGTATGAGAAAGGTATCTGTAGTAAGCAAGAAAGACACAGCACCTTCATGCATCAGTGCAATGATGACTTGCCATTCCTTTGGTCTTTGTATTTGTGATTCACACCTTGTGGAAAGGCAAGGCATTTCTGACACCCTGTGCTTTATTCGTTAAAAAGATAACAGGATTTGTTGGCAATATGCGGATTTATTGGAGATTTTTCACTAACTCATTTGGTTGATACCAGCTCTGTATTTTTTATTTATTTTAGAAATGTAATTATTTGTTCTGTCAGTCATTGAGTTTCTAGAAAATTAGTATTTCATCAGTACATAATTGGGATATTATTTTCTAGAACCTTCCTAAACATTGCATAAGTATAGCTATGACAGGAGCATTCATCTGCTCAAACCTGACTGATCGACCTTGACCAAGTGGTGGTGGGGGTGCAACAAGGAGATCAAAATGAAGGCTGGTTGAGGTCGAGCAGAAAGCTCTGGAACCCAAAGCTCTTTACCTCCTATGATTTCATTCATATATATATATATATATATAATTTTTATTGTGAGAATACCATACAGAGGAGTTACAATTACATGGGCAAGATAACGAGTACATTTCTTATCAAGCATTGTTGCCTCCTCGTTGTTTTCCCTTCCCATCCCTTCCCTCCTATGATTTCTTAAGCTGATTTTAATGCTCTATTATCTTCCCAATGTGAGGTCAGCATGGTGAACATGAAATGACACCAAGAAGCACGCCAGTCAGTAATTCTGATGTGTGTCTTCATGTTTCTCTGAGAAGGATGGGGAAATGGGAAAGAAAGAATGAGAGAGAGAGAGAGAGAGAGAGAGAAGAAAGAGAGGAGGAGGGAAGAAAGGGGAAGGGAGGAAGGAAGGAAGGAAGGAAGGAAGGAAGGGAGGGAGGGAGGGAGGGAGGGAGG